GAAAAGGAGAGAGAGCGAGCGAGAGAGCGAAGGGCGCTTTTCACCGTTTCCCTCTCTCTCTCCTTTTCCTTTTCTTCCCCCCCCCCAATCTCTCTCAGGGGAAATGGGAAATGAGGAGGGAGAGAGAGAGAGAGAGAGAGAGAGAGGGAAACGGTGAAAAGCGCCCTTCGCTCTCTCGCTCGCTCTCTCTCCTTTTTTTGTCCTGCAGTGGGAGCGTTTAGACTGTCGAGGGTTTTTTTTTGTGTAAGAACAAAACCAGGGGTTGGGGTTTTTGTGTGGCTGTTGTTTGTTGAAGTGGAGCTAAGAAAAAGCGGCGGCTTTCTCCTCTTTGTGAGGAAACCAATCAGTAGTATTTGGAAAACTGTTAGCATTGTGCATTTCTTCTGTGACCATTGTAAGGCCGTTATTTTCACATGGCTTTCCTTTCCTTTCCTTTCCTTTCTTTTCTTTTCTTTTCTTTTCTTTTTTTCTTTCCTTCCTTTCTTTCTTCCTTTCTTTTCTTTCTTCCTTTCTTTTTCTTATTTCCCTTTCTTCTCTCTCTCCCTCCCTCCCTCTCTCTCTCTCTCTCTTTAGCTGATCCAGCTGGCCAGAGTGAATAGCGGTGCAATTGTGTACACGCTTTGTCCTCCTGGTCCTTCAAGTAGCCTCTGTGAATAGACTAAGTTGACACTGCATGACAGAGAAACAACATAATAAAAAATACATGAGCCCCTGGATGGGAACAGGCGCATAAATAAATAAAATGGGTGACCAAAACTGGATAAACTGAATGACAAAATGGTGAAAGGGGAACAAAAAGATATTTAACACGCTAGATTAGCATTAGAATGCAATCTACAAGACTGAACAATTGATGAATAGGGTTACCGGCCAAGAAAGAAAGAAACTAAATGCCCTTTGAATAGATTTTTTTTTCTTTCTTTCTTTTTGGCAAGGGCATTGAATAGATATGCTTCTTGCAGGACTGAATGAGAAAAAAAAGGTTAAAAAAATGAAGCTATGCAAATAATTGAAGTGCGGTGTGTGTGTGTCTGTGTGTGTGTGTTCGCGCGCGCAT